ACACCAGACCGCATCCGCGATCGCATCCATTTACTAACGGAGAAGCCTACCTCTCTTATTTCTGACGGCGATCTAGATGATATCAAAGCTAGGGTTTCGTCTATTGCGGACGAGATATTAACGCTTGAGGATGTTGAGCGTGTTGCTGGAGTTCTTGATGCGAGATCTGTTGTCGATTTGCTTCGGAGGTCGCCTAATGGCTCTGCGTCTGTTGAGTTGCTCTCTCGTCTCAAGGCCAAGCCTCATTTTGCTTTGGAGGTGAGGGATTTCCAGCGATTTTAGTGTTTTGGTTGGGTTAAAGTTCAATTCTCGGAAAAAATTACTTTGTATTTGGGATAAAAGAAATGTATGAGTTGCTTGTATCTAGTGTTATTTGATCTTATTTAAGGGTTTTTTTAACCTAATCAGATAGCAATAAAACGCTCTCAGTCACCTGGAGGTTGAATTGTTGGACTGCATATCTTCACAATTATTCAACTTTCACATTGTTCCAGTCTTTTCGGCAGTGATATTTGGCTTCAAAAGTGAGCTAGGAAGCATTGAGTTCTTATAAGAATCAGTGATTTCGGAGTGGCAAATATTAAGTATAAAAGTCCTTACACCTGACTCTCTTTCGTAATCTGTTTTCTAGGTTTTTAACTGGAGGAGGAGACAAGCAGACGCTGAGATTCCATTGCAAGCAGAAGAGTATTCGAAAGCTATTACACTTGCTGGTAGGACCAAAGATATAGACCTTGCCGTAGGTCTCTTCTGTGATGCTGCTAGGACCCTTGGATTTCAAAGCACTTGCGTCTATAATTCCTTAATCTCAGCTTACATGTACAATGGGTATACCAAGAAGGCTATCTCAGTCTTCGGGGACCTGGAGAGGGACCCAAATTGTAAGCCGAGCATTGTCACCTATAATATTCTTCTTTCGGTCTTTGGCCGGTCAATGTTGGTTAACCATATGGAGGCTATACTCAAGACCATCGACCAGTCTGATGATCTCTCACCAACATTGACCACTTATAATACTGTCATTGCTGGTTACGTTACGGCTTGGATGTGGGGTAGGATGGAGAGCACTTTTCATAGAATGGAGACTGGAACTGTCAAGCCGGATGCTTCCACTTATCTGTTGATGCTTCGAGGCTATGCTCATTCTGGTAACATTGAAAGAATGGAAAGTACTTACGAGCTAGTGAAAGAAATGGTAAATAATCATGAGATTTGTCTAATTCAAGCAATGATATGTGCTTATTGTAAAAGCTCTGATCCTGATCGAGTTAGGAAGATTGAAAATTTGATGAAGTTCATCCCAGATGGGGAATATAGGCCGTGGCTTAACATTCTTTTGATTAGGCTTTATGCTCAAGAGGGCTTGCTTGAATCCATGGATAAGTCCATACTGGAAGCATTCAAGAGGAATACGATAGTCACAACTACGGGCACTATGCGCTCAATCATCTCAAGTTACTTCCGATGTGATGCAGTGGATCAGCTTGTAGGGTTCATACGTAATGCTGAGTATGCTGGGTGGAGGCTCTGCCGGTCACTTTATCATTGTAAGATGGTGATGTACGGGCAGCATAATAGGCTGGAAGAAATGCATGCGGTTCTTGATGAGATGGAGGCTTACAAGTTTAACCCCACAAAGAAGACTTTCTTGATTATGTTCAAGGCATATTGGAAGATTGGGAGAAAGTCCGAAGCAGAGTCAATTCTTGGCATTATGTGGAAGCATGGTTTTTGTACTACAGAGGATTCTTTCGTTTTCTAATATTCTCTGAGATTTTGATGGAAACATATCAACTGCATTCAGTATTAGTGGATTGTTGAGGAGTATCCGAGCTCTTTATCTTTATGTAATTGCTCGGTAAGTTTCAAGCTTTGAGTTTCACCAAACATTTTATCTTTTAAACTGCATCAGATGTTCTTCCCCTACATGTAGAAAGTATCTTTTAAATTGCAT